TGTGTGTGTGTGTGTGTGTGTGTGTGTGTGTGTGTGTGTGTGTGTGTGTGTGTGTGATAGTTTTCCCACTAGTCATTTTGTTTCCATGTGTTTTCACATTTCTCTGTCTCCCGTTTTTACTTTACTTTATGCATTTCTGCCTCATTATGCAAATAAGGTGGGCGGTCCTTCCTGGGTTAGCTCCTCTCATTGGTCAACAGACAGGAAAGAACATGTTTATTGTGCATGCTTGTTTCTTGCTTCCTTCTTTCCATTCTTACCTCCTTCCTTTCCTCTGTATCCTTCCTTCCTTCCTTCCTTCTGTCTTCTCTTCCTTAGTTCCTTCCCTCCTTTCTTCTGTCCTGTTTATTTTCTTGCTTCAGTCTTCCCTTCTTTTCATTCTTATCTCTTTCCTTTCTTCCTCCATGTCCCTTTCTTCTTTCTTTCCTTACTTCTGTCTTCACTTCCTCAGTTCCTTCCCTCCTTTCCTTCCTTCCTTCCTTCCTGCTGGCTGAATGAATCACAGACTGGAGCATCAGTGATGGAAGTTAGCGTTTCTTAAATCTGTTTCCTCTGTCATAATGTTTCCCGTCATCATTTTATTACAAAGATCACACACACACACACACACACACGCACACACACACACACACCCGGATGCTCTCCGTCTCCTCAGGGTGCTGTAAAGGAGGTGTCTCTTCTTTTTCTCATGGGTCTCTGAGCACCAGGGCAGGTTCTGTCACTGCCTCTGGCTCTGCTGCTGCTCGTCTGAACACCGGGACCCGACTGGGACCAAGGAAAGTTTCAAGTTGAATTTCCCAGGTAAAGTCTTTTGTCCATGTTTTTTTTTAAAACTTAAGTGTTAAAGTTGATTTAGTTTAAGATTTGTCTCCTGTTTTCATTTTCTTTATTGCTGTATTTTAGTGATGGAAATATTTATTAGTTTCAAAACCCTTTTTTTATTAAGTGAAGAAAATGATCATTTAAGTTGTGATTAAATTGTGCAATCATTTGTTGATGTGTGCCAATTTAAAGGTTTTAAAGTTAAACTGAAACAAATGAAATGTTTACTGCCATAAATATGAACCAAATTCAGACCTAAAATATGTACAAAATGTTAAATCCTGTGATGATAAAATTAATCTGATATTTTAATTTTGATTCCTTCCTCCTCAGTTGCTCTTCTCCCCCTCGCAGTGAGGTTTGGGATGTCCTGGTCCAGACCCCAGGTGGACCCTCCTGCTTGCGAAGCAGAGGCCACGGATCAGCCCAACATGGACCACCACTACGAGGGCTCCCTGTTCCCCACCTCCACCCTCATCCCCATCACCGCCATCTGCATCTTCATCTTCATCGTCGGGGTGATGGGCAACACCATGACCATCCTCATCATCCAGCACTTCAAGGACATGAAGACCACCACCAACCTGTACCTGTCCAGCATGGCGGTGTCCGACCTGGTCATCTTCCTCTGCCTGCCCTTCGACCTCTACCGCCTGTGGAAGTACGTGCCCTGGGTTTTCGGGGAGGCGGTGTGCCGCTTCTACCACTACATCTTCGAGGGCTGCACCTCGGCGACCATCCTCCACATCACGGCCCTGAGCATCGAGCGCTACCTCGCCATCAGCTTCCCCCTGCGCAGCAAGGCGATGGTGACCCGACGCCGGGTCCAGTGCATCATCCTGGCCCTGTGGGGCTTCGCCCTGGTCTCCGCGGCCCCCACGCTCTTCCTGGTCGGGGTGGAGTACGACAACGACACGCGCCCCGACTTCAGCACGGGCCAGTGCAAACACACCAGCTACGCCATCAGCTCCGGGCAGCTGCACATCATGCTGTGGGTGTCCACCACCTACTTCTTCTGCCCCATGCTCTGCCTCGTCTTCCTCTACGGCTCCATCAGCTGCAAGCTGTGGAAGAGCAAGAACGACCTGCAGGGCCCGTGTGCTCTGGCCCGAGAGAGGTCTCACAGGCAGACGGTCAAGATCCTGGGTGAGTTTCACTTTAAAGGTGAAATCCAGCAGCAGACAGAAGATAAAACTAATTACTTTGAGAATGAGAGTCGTTTATGTTGAGCTGAGGCCATCCGTGGTGAACCAGAGACACGAGCAGCTATCAGAGGAAGGAAATAATGTCATAACAATAGTTATTAACAGGTAATAAACAAGCCAAAAGTGTTTTTGTTTAATATTTACATAAATAATATCTTTATGTTTTACAGTAAATTAATAATACATCATACAAATAATATATAAACTAGATACGGCAAAGTGGTAGCATATATGATCCCAAATGCACCAGAACTCACCAGAACAGATCTACTGTTTTAGATTGGGGGGTGCACTGGTGGGCCTGATGGGTAGCCCCTCATCAGAGCTAAACAAACAAACAAAAAAATAAATAAAATCTGAAGCTCGTATGTTTTAAAGTTTTTGAGTTATAAGCATTTTTGTATATCCAGACACCCCCTTTTCAGATGGAGCCCCCTCCTCAAATGTGGGGTCTATTGTAAAACCGTTGGCTGGCGCAGTGTAGGTCAGACACATCTACATTCCTACCGGATTTCATGTTGATCGGTGCAGCCGTTTCTGTGATTCGGTTCACCAAACAGAAAATAAAATAAAATTAAATTAAATAAAAATTAATAAACAGTTGACCAGACCATGAAAATAACATATATGCAAAATGGACATAATAACATATCAAGTTGTTCTGATTGTTAATAAATTATGCATCAGAAGTGAGCTCAACATCTGTAAACTGACTGAGCTACGGACAGTTTTTGTGTTGGCTAAAGTTGATTAGCTGCAGCGGCCATCTTGGATCAGTTACTCAATAAAGTTTTGTTTATTGTTCTCCATTAGCTGCTGGTTAACTAGGCCGGAACAGCCAGGTCTTTACAACGTCACTCATTTGTTCCCCGGAAGACAATAAAAAATTTTGCGTCTCCCAGTCGTTAAAAGCGTCGTGACTCAAAGTTTTTCTTTGCGAATAACCCCAAAGGTAACTGTCGTCAGGGACGGAGCAGAAAAACACACACTGTCACCGCACGTCATCTCACAACAAACACCGCCTCATCAGTCCTCCTCTCCTGCTTTTCATCCCCACAAACCAAAACAAACAGATTTCACATTAAAAGTGTCTTTGTAGGGGGAAAGCAAAAAAAGCTTCAGGGCAGAAATCCATCTGTTTGCTCAGTCAGTTTGCCTTTCAGTGCTGCAGAAGCAATAAAAATACCAGGCTGACTGATTGGAATCCAGGTTTTCTGTCGTGGCTTTGGGAGCATTATCAAACACTCGGATTGTTTTTTGATTTTTATACAGATAATTTCTCACACTGAAACCGTCCATCTCCTTTTTCTGTTTTCTCCTGTTGTGGGATGATGAGAAATATGGTTCGTCACTGCTCATACTGATCGGTTTAATTGAGTCTATGGCATGGTACGAGGGCCAAAATTAGGACTATTGCACAACCAGTGGTTGCTACTGTATATCCTTGTAGCAGGAGGTTATCTATTCCTATCTATACCAGCTATTGCAGCTATTGATCTGATTAATGATAGGCCAGCACCGCTAACTGAGGCCGGTGGTGGCAAATGAAGAGACTATTCATTTGCGTTAGCATCTGAGTCTTTCCAATGCAAACACCAGCTTACCTATGCTAGTTGCTAGCCTCTCCAATGCTAACACCAGTTTACCCATGATAGTCGTTAGCCTCTCCAATGCTAACACCAGTTTACCCATGATAGTCGTTAGCCTCTCCAATGCTAACACCAGTTTACCCATGATAGTCGTTAGCCTCTCCAATGCTAACACCAGTTTACCCATGATAGTCGTTAGCCTCTCCAATGCTAACACAGCTTATCTATGTTAGTTGCTAACCTCTCCAATGCTAACACCAGCTTACCTATGCTAGTTGCTAGCCTCTCCAATGCTAACGCAAATGAAGTCTCCTTCTCATCCATTATGGCGTAGGTATAGACATAACCTCCTGCCCTCATACTAGGGACTTTGATAAATGCGCTGCACAATCCCGTCAGGTTTTTGTGATTTTTTTTTTTTTTGCTCGTTTTCATGCTTAGCCTCCGCTTAGCATTTTGAAATCTATCTTAAGGTTTTATCTAGGTTGTTTTCTGCTTTGGTTTGAAAAATCGTTGCGAAACTGTGACACGTTTACGGAGCTCCGCCCCTTTTTTATGTATACGGAAGTCAATGGAGCACTTGCTTCCTAATTTTCAGCATTTAAAGACCTCTAAATACTTAATGGGGGGTCCGATTGAAAAAAAAAAACTAAATGGTTTTGGAATCTGTACACATAGCCTTACGAGTACAAAAAGTAAAAAAAGCTCTAAAATGAGTTTGAAAATTTTATCAACGTCCCTACTCATACTGCGCCATATGAATCTGACACAAGCTCACAAGACAAAAGCTCCCACCCTTAATAAAAACCAAACTAAAGCTCACAAATTATTTATGTTTTATAGTCACTTATTGTTGTAGCTGAGACTCAACTTCAGATATGTAATAGGGTTTAAAAGGACTTCTTTACAAGCTGAAGTATTAGTACTTAAAAGTATAAACATAAAAATAATATAAAGGAAAATACAAGCACAAAAGCTTAGGCTGCTCCACAGGGGTCCCTCCTAGTCCTCCCCCAAAAAACGATAAAGGATAGTGATTAATTTTATTTATTTATTTATTTATTTATTTATTTATTGCCTCTTTTTCTGATATACACTTCAGCTTTCTTAGGCCCCCCGAGCGCCTCCTGCTGGCATTCCAGGGGGGGGCCGCCGCTCCCACTTTGAAAAACACTGTTAGCTTGTTTCAGCCACGTATACATCCGTGTGACATTACTCAACAATAAGCTGTAATGAAATAGAAATGAAATACTTTTGAAAGTAGCAAAGTATTTGTACTTTGTTGCTAAATGCCTCTGCTCACCAGACACTCCAAACCAAGTGAATTATTGCGTTGTCACAAGAGATTGTGCATAATTTTCTTCAAGGATTGCTGAGTTTTTATTATTTTCCAAATGTTTTTAATGACTTGAAAGATTCGCAGAAACAGAACTCATGTCGTCAAACAGAACATCAGGTCTTCACCAAACTGGACCGTCTTCAGAGTCCTGATCCTGGTCCGTTTCTCACTCTGTTCTTTACTGTTGGTTTTAATTCACACAGAGCGTCTGAGCACGGACACACCCCTCTAATGACAGGGCTGGCATTTATTGTCCTTCCACAAATTACTGCCAGTTACAAACTGATGATAGTTTTATCTGCGGGGGCTTCTTGATCAATACCAGTGACTCGGTGATTAGCTCATTCATCACACAAACCTCTGGCTCTGTCCTTTGTTGGCTCTGTGGCTCCCCGCTGCATCCAGGAGCTAATTGGTTCGTTTGGCCTGGTTGGAGCAAGCTGCTGTCTGCTCAGTGCAGGAGGAGGTTTAAAGGTTTTTTTTAAAAATTAGCTGCTCTAATAAATTTCACAGGATACTGCAGATGACAAGACACTTCATTATTCCTAATTAGACCTCAAGTGTTGATTAAAAGCTTAACATTCCTTGAAGGAATGCCGATCACCCTTTACCTCCCATGCCAGAGTTTCAAACTAAGATCATTATTATTATTATGGTCAAAAAATGATTTGACCCTCAAATTTAATCATTTTATTATTCATTATTTTTTTTAAAATCCATTTTGGTTCACGAGTTTCTTTGCTAACAGAACTAACTCCAAATATTTAGTAGCAAAATTAAAAAAATATGTTGGAGCTCAAACTATCTTTTGAGGATCAGTCTCAGCTACCACCACCCCAAATTTAAAATGCATTTTTTTTTTTGCAAAATTTCCACTTATCGATGGGCAACGGATACGAGGAAGCAGTCCTTGCAATCTGACCTATAATACTTTTTAATTTAAATATTTGTGTTATTTGTTTGTAGTTCTGACAGGGGCGGTTCTAGGGGCGGGGCCACAGGGGCACTGGCCCCATCTGAAATCTGATTGGCCCCCTGAAGCCCTGTCTTTTCACTCATCTGTCCTTGCCCAAATGCTGGCTGCAGTTCCAGTTCCAACCACTAGTGGCGCCAGTGAGTCAAACAGGAAAGTCATTTTTATTGAATAAAACTGGCAACGATGGGTAGATTTTCTTACATGTTGTGTGTTTGAGAGTATTTTATTTATGTACAGTAAAAACATGTAAAATTGATATGGATAATTTACTGTGCAAGATTTTACAAGTGTGTGACATGTGTGACTGATTAAATGTATAAAACTTACAAAAACTGGGGATTTGTGTGCAAGGATGTTGAACAAATATTTGGCCCCTCTATAAATATTGTGGCCCCTTACACTGAAAAAATCCTAGATCCACCATTGAGTTCTGAAACTATCGCCCAGATTTATTTATCCAATAAAACTGATAATTATTCTGCTAACACTGAAAGGCTTTCTCTGTGTTTTTGGTGACTTAGTTTTTTTTTTTTTTTTTTGTCTTTGGTGAAGTTGTTGTAAAAGTAATTTTTTATGGCAGCTGTGAAGTGACTCTGCATCCATCAGAATCTTCACACCTCACTTCTTCTGTTCTGTTTGTCCAAATGGAAGCACGTCAGCGCCTCGTGTCACGGCCAACCAGTGACTGATCTGGTTGCTTGACAACGTCAAGACAATACTTAAATTCCCCTCTGCGTCATTGTTGCATTTTCTGCAGACAAAATGTGTTAAGTGTTTTTTTGATACACTGGAGCAGAATTAAACACGCTGCTTTCATCTGTGCGCAAATACAGAATAAAAGGTGTTTTTTTTCCTTTTCTCTCGTTTGTTCCGACTCGTCCTCCTCAGTGGTGGTGGTGTTGGCCTTCATCATCTGCTGGCTGCCGTACCACATCGGCAGAAATCTCTTCGCCCAGGTAGACGACTACCAGACGGCCATGCTGAGCCAGAACTTCAACATGGCCTCCATGGTGCTGTGCTACCTCAGCGCCTCCATCAACCCCGTGGTCTACAACCTCATGTCCCGGAAGTACCGGGCCGCAGCCAAGCGCCTCTTCCTGCTCCACCAGAGGACCCGACAGGCCCGCCGTGGTCAGAGTCAGCTCAGCGTGATCGACCGCATGTCCACCCTGAACGAGAGCCTGACTGGGGTCTGAGTCTGCAGGTTTATGGAGGTCAGGGGTCTGGAGCTAAATAGGGAATACAAAATAAATAGGGCTCAGTGCTTCACAGCACTTATACAAAATTATGGCGTTCTTTTCACTGAGACTTTATTAACTTTGTTATATGTTAGTGTTGTACGCCTACTTACATTCAGGTAGTCTCTGTTATCTCATTTCCATGCGTGACAGGATCCTGATGATGGAAGTGTTTGTTTTGTTGCCTTTTACCTCTGATTTCAGTCGGATGTTTCATTTTGTGGAGACGTAGCAATTCTTCAAATAAGTGCATCAGGTTGTTTAAGTTAAATAGGGTAAAGGTTTAAAATCATAAGAAACTGAAAAAAGGTGCATGCATAATTACAGGGCCCCTAATGGGG